GGGGGGTTGCACTAGACTGTTCATTCTTGGGATGATACAAACTCTGAGGAGGGGTGGAGCTACCGCTACCCCCATCACCGTACATCCAAATCGAAAAGCATCAGGTCGGCCCATTTGTGGCATTTCAACAGGCCTTCAAAAACCTTGTCGCTGAAACATGCAGAAACCAAAATCCAGATCCTCTGTATTTCTGCAGCATGTTTTAGACCCGGTCTTACCAAATGAACCTCTTGCACGGTCTCCCCACTTGACTCGTCTCTACGCCGATGTTCCCCCCAACAAAGAAAGACCCCTGAGAGTCGAAAGCTGCTTCCGCTGCGATGGCCTCCACCCTAGTAGCAATGGCCTCCACCCTAGTAGCAATGCGGAGTCTTCGCCTTCTCTTCTTCTCCTTGGAGTGCAAACTCCTTGAGAACCAGCTCAGCCCAACGTTCCGCCACTGGGAAAGGCCTCGTTCCGCCGCCAGAAGCCGAGAACGAGGGACTGAGTTTAGCGAGGAAAATTCCCTTGGGGGACCGAGGGAGGGAGCTGTGGAGTAGGGAGCTCCAGAAAACTGCTCCAGAAAATTGCACATCACTCGAATCAGTCGAGACATCTCCAATCAGATTCTCACAGAGCTGCGCCGCGGTGCCTTTCAGATTCTCTTTCTTTGTCGAAATCTGCCACCGGTGGCAGGCCCCTGTGAGTGCCATACTCGACCGTGCGGCCGTAGGGAAAAACTCACCGGTACGAAAAGGAAAATGCCTTGAGGCAGTCCTTACCGCATAAAGTACAACAAGGAAATAAACACTTCATGACTTCATCTCTGGTCGCAAGTGTCACTCTGAAGACACTGCTCCAGTATTGAAATTGGCCAGTGATGCCACACTGAGGGTGTTCCAAATCCACCACATTCTCCGTGAAGCAAACACGTCGTCGCCAGAAAAGTGATCACTCGCTGCGGACTCGCTCACTCACACCCACTCTGACTCCACACTGCTGTCATCCACCCCAAAGTCAATCGCTTTGGCTTTGAGGCAACTACCCATGCGTGACGAGGGCGAGGAATCGCCGGATTTGCTCGAACCCGAGCTGGAATTGCTCGAGCTCGATTTCGCTGAGCGACTCCCTAGGCTTCGCAAAGCCTGAGACGCACAGGCAGATACTGGCTAGCTGCGGAGTTCTGTCGTTTCGCATTTGGATCTTAGACCATCCATGGAAAACTACTCAAAGAGTTCCAAACAGGGGGACTAGTATTCATAGGCGAGCAGCTGCAAAAATGCTGACTTTGGTATTTGAACGCTTCTTCGCGCCTAACTGAAGGAGAGAGTTCACCATCCGCTCGTCGCCCATCTGGTCCGCCACATCCAGTGGATAAACCGGCTCCATGTGAACCTTTTGGTGTACATCCCTCGTGTTTCGCGGTGTATTCACCTCCAAAAAGCCATGCCGCTCCAAGAAATTCTCCACACGTGCTTTTCGTGCCGCGATGGCTTTGGGTGAGTCGGGGTCAAAGTCTTGGTAGCTGCCAGCCATTGCGCAGCTTGTGACCGGGAGCACACGAAAAATGACGTACACTCCGAAGGATTCTGTGTTTGAGCCCAAAAA